TGAAGGTTATTTTCAAAAAATTTTTTACATAAATTGCAATTTTGACAATAAAATCGTTTAACTCAAAAACAAAACAAAATTTTGTTGTCAAAATACGGTCACGTTTTTTTATATTACTTTGATTTATATTATTTTTTTTGTGGAGGCAAATGAATTAAAAAAAAACCGCTTGGTTCCATACTTAATATTCACCCACTATAAAACAAATTTAAAAAAAGAGGATAGGTACTAATTCCAGCTTACAAATTACATGTTGTTTTCTCTTTAACATATTTTGTAACCGGATCATTTCTCTTAAACTGTCCAATTTTTCACTTGAACTGAAATTTATTATCGGAAATTTGTAATTTGAAACAAATATGCACAACTTAACTTTAACTTCAACTGAAATTTTTTATCGCAAATTTCTGATTTGAAAAAAATAGGCACGAAGTTGCCAAAATATGCATTTTTTATTTGGCTTACATTAATAAAAAACATTAGATATGCATAGAAAACTTATAATTTTCTTCATATACCTCCTAAAAACAAATATGCATTTTGCATATAATAATCCGAGCCTTAATAATAACCATAGATAATAACATAAGAAAGTGATAATTTTATCAAATGATGTCAAATAGTTCAATAATATATTTATTCCTTGTTGGCAGGATAGCTATTTTTGTTACAATTACCTAAAATACAGTTTTTGCGGACGAATCGTTGCTGTTTCCGGACGAGGCGAAGCCGAGTCTAGAATATCAGATAAGTCCGCAAAAACGTTTTAGGTACATGTTACAAATTTTTCGTCCGAAGAGACTCATTTTAGGGACTCAAACAGCTATATTTGGAAGCGTTTACAAAAAATAGTTATTAGTAATATTATTATGTGTATTCATCGACACATAATTTAGTTCAAATTCCACGAATAGAATAAAAAGTCCTACTATTTAATCCTATAATTTAGGACATTGATACAGGGTGTCCCACCGAATTGATATAAAATCCAATATTTACCTTTTAATGATAAAATTTTAAAATATATATAAAGGAAGTTGATAGATACTAATCTAGTCCATCGCCTAAAATTATTTTCAACTATACAACGTGTCTCAAAAATAACTTACAATACAAACTTGTGTTTTTTTTAATGAAACACCATATGTTTCTTAGCGTTTTTGGATGTTGATTTTTATGACAATATTTTTAAGCTAAACTTTTATTGGTCAATTTTGCTTAGTTTAAAAAATAAGACGGTTTTTTTTGACGACAACATACACTTTTTAAAAATTTATTACACAAAAACTAAGACATCTAGAAATATTTTTTACTACCGCAAAGACGAAGGTATAAGGTAAAAGGTTGTAACATTTTTTAGTGTGTTGCATTTGCAAAGATAAAAAAAATGAAGGCGTTTGTTAAAAGTTCAATAACTTAAAAAATTTAAATGGAACACCCTATTTATTTTAGATAGACAATTTATCAATCTATTAGACGCAAAAATAAGGTGTTCCATTTAAATTTTTTAAGTTATTTAACTTTTAACAAACTTTAAATTTATTAATATTGACAAATGCAAAACACTAAAAAATTGATACAGCTTTAAATTATGTAATTTCTTCTTTGCAGAAGTAAGAAAAAATGTGTTCTAGCTGTCTTAGTTTTTGTGTAATGAATTTTTAAAAAGTGCATGTTTTCGTCAAAAAACGTCTTATTTCTAAAACTAAGCAAAATCGACTAATAAAAGTTTGGCGTAAAAACATTGGAAAATATTGGACTTTATATCAACTCGATGGGACATTCTGTATATGTATGTGGTTTATTTAAGAGTTACTGAAAATATAATTATTACACAAACATCAAGTAGGAACAATTTGCAGTGTAATTGCAGAAATAATATACGATAAAGTAAATTAAGTCATAAATTTTAACGAAGGTGGCTAATACACATTTTGTGAAAGATGGTTTCATGAAAATTTACTGTGTGATTTTCACCTCAATTGCTTCTAATTAATTGAACCAAATTATGTATAAGCTGACAAGATTGGTCTACGCTGTTCCTACAACGTGATAACTCTACTAATCTGTGTTCGAGTAATCGCACACTAATTTCTGATTGGAATAAGTACTTTTTTATAAAATATTCTTGGAAACGTTTTTGTGGACACTTTTTGGATGCTCTCAGAAATGTTATACTATATACGGGTTACAAAAAGTTGTATCAGGTTACGATATATACAGGGTGTTCGGACCCTTGTCGCCCCAGTTGATAACACCTAAACTTACTTCTTTTTTTCAAAAAGTAAATATTTAAGTAATAATATTCATTCTTGGCTTTCTTAATAAATGTATTAAATTTTTTTTAGCACATCCGGTGTTGCCGGAAATGGTACCAAATTTAGTTTTTCAAATGGAACACCTATGTTTTTTTCCTCCAAACTATAATAATTGACATGAAAAATACTGTAGACCACTATTTATTACAATTTGCGTAGTACAATGCAATCAAAAAACATCTTAAATTTTAGAATTTTATAAGGAAATTGGTCGCGTAGCCTGATTTTTAATTTTAAAAGTAAGGTGTGAATAAAAAAAATGCTTGGATACAGTTTAATTGTTGGTTTGACAAATCTAATTTGTCAGTTGATGAGCGAGTTCTCTTATGGAAACTCTTGGATTTTCTTCGACTGATAACATAACATTCAGATTTCTATTTTCGTGTTCTTCACAAAGAACCACAGGTTTTTTAGTTTTAAGAAGTGAACCTATTCGTCTCAGTTGTGTTTCAATTCGACTAAACTTCCAACGATTTGGGTGAACTCTATTTGAGTATTTTTCTCCATACTGTGTTTCAGCTTCCGCTCTATTTTTATTGCACTTAAAAAACACTTTAAGCTGACCTACCAATTTGTCGTAAATAATATCATCCATTATTAAAGATCTCAATAAGATTTATTGACAAATTAGGCTTTGTCAAACTAACAATTAAACGGTACCCAAGCATATTGCTTCTTGCGTAAATACCTTGACAAGTAAAATCCGCCTACGTTGCAAAATTTGCAATAAAATTCAAAAATTTAAATTGTTTTCTGAGTGCATTATGTAAAGTAAAATGTAATAAATAGTGGTTTACCGTATTTCTCATGCCAATTATTATCGTTTCGAGCAAAAAAACATAGTTGTTGAAAAACTAAAGTAGGTAGCATTTCCGGCTACATCGGATGTGCCAAAAAAATTTGATGCATTTACTAAGAAAATGAGGAATGAATAGTATTACATATTTGAAAATTTACTTTTTGAAAAAAAAGTGTAAGTTTAGGTGTTATCGACCGGGGCGACTTGGACCGAACATCCTGTATATATTTTTTTCAAAAAAATTTCAGGCTCATTATTACTCGTGAGACAACCTGTATATTCTGGTACGAGCCGCGTAGTGGCGAGTTGAGGAAGAGACTTGCTTGAATTGCCTTCTGAACTAACATAAAATTTAGGGCATTTTGCATTAGGCGATACGTAGAAACATTAAACTCGAATTGACATTTGTAATTGTGTGTAATCTGGAATTTTTATGTACGCCGCCGAAAATACGGAAAATTGGTAGGAATACTGAAAGCAATTCACCGGCATTGTCACCAACATGAAAAACATAAAAGACACTAAACTATTAACGCACTCTGAGAAGCTGTTAACGCACCAAAACGAGTTCGTTAATAGCGCTGTTTTTTGTTAAGCCTATTATTTCAAAACCACCCTGTTTAGAAATATTTACATGCATATGTTAGAAAATTCTGCATACCTCTTGCCAAGTTGGCTGCTTTTAGCTAGTGGAGTGGAAAATTGCAGTGGATAAAAAATAGCATTATTTATATTTTAATACATCGAAAAATAGTTTTGCTAAAAATAAATTACCCATGCGCAGAACACACCTTAAAGTAATTAAATATCCTTTGTTAGTTCACACATAATTCTCCTTTGTTTGTTGAATCGACACTCGTGCGTATTTCGTGACGAACATGTCTATGCACTTTTCACCATGTTTAATTGTTTGAGATGGCTAAGAAACGAATTCAAAAGCGATACATAGGTTAATTCTTCGTACACGACGAAAGCAGTGGCGCGCGACTATATCTCAGGGTGAATTGTGGCGAATGCGCCGGTTCTCCTACGCCCTCCTAGTTTTGTCATATTGATCCGACAATCCAGGGTTCTTCGCGCGGGACACTCAAACTGAACGAAAAATAACGACAGTTGGCGAATTACACCGATTTAGGTCAGGGATATTGCGAATATTTATAATTCTTCCATTAATGGAACCGAAAATTGATTACCAAATGAAAGATTCTCAAAAAGGTATTTATCCAAACCTGACAATATGTGACAAAACAATTATTAATTAACTGATTATAATTTTTTAGAATTTTTTTTACAAACATTTGCCACTTTTCTGTAAAAGTCCTACCAAAATGTAACAAACAGTTTGATAAAAAACTGTTTACATTGTATTCAATATACAGCTTATAATGAAAGCCAAATATGCCAGAATGTCGATAACGTAAATATTTTCCAAGCCTAAATTAAATATTTCCTTGTTAGTATTTTTTAAATTATGTATTCAAAAAAAAGTTTAGATTGAAATGATTAAAATTTAATGGAACATTTAAACAGAAGGATAAAATAAAGAGAGCATCGGTGATTTTACAGGATGTACGATATGTAAAACAATAGGGCTTTTTCAAATAGCTGAAAAAGTATATGAGCGATCAAAGTTTCATAAAAACTAAAAACACCACGAAGGCAAGCTCTATTTACAGGCTGTTCCAGCTAAACCACACATTAGAAGTATTCGGAGTTCTGACAATGATATTTATCTAAAATTATGTTTATAACCAGAATCGATTAGGTTCTGCTCAATGAAAATATAAGATTGCGGTACTTCCTGTTACACCGGAAGTGGATATCAACTTCGTTTTTTTTATGTTTTTGATTGCGTTTTTGGATTACTCAAGTGATTTTAAGAAAACTTTCTTTAGTCTTCCCTATACCTGAGTTTAACCGTTTTCGAAATATTTAAAACTTTTTAAATTTTTTTGGATTTGAATCTTCCTATTCAAAAATCGATAACTCTATCATTTTTTATGTTAAAACCGTATTTAGGTATACGAGAGAGAAAGGTTAGATCTTTCCTTTGGTGTATTCATAATTGGAAAAATAATTAAAAAACCGCCAAAATGTAATTTAACTTAATTTTTCTAAATAAAACACCCCAATTTTTTTTTTTTTTCACTAAATAGAGGTGAATTCAGTTCTGCTTCGATCTGTATTAACATTCCCTATATAGCCATAGCTTACTTTAGCATAGGTAGTCATAGAAATAAGGAAAAAATGGAATATCAAACTTATTCAAATTTAGATTAAATAAATTTAATTTGTACCTATTTACGAAAAAAAACTTGGTGTTTTTTCAGTGAAAAATAAACTGCTCAACAAAAATTAAGGAAGTATGCAATAATTACAATAATTAATTAAATTAATAAATTATTAAAAAATAAATTAATAATTAATTAACAGTGAAATAAAGGCAGAAATCTTTTTACTTTTTTGTTTTTGCTGGATTCCACAATGCTTAGAAGAAAAAATTTGTTTGTTGTAAAAATAATGCGACTTCCTTAACTTTTGTGGAGCAGTATGGCAAACTATGCGAAAACTACCATGTATAGTAATGAATCAATTTCTTCCATTGTAAAAAAAAAATAAAATATCTTTGAAATCATTAAATTTAGGTATAGGGAACGTTAACACAGATCAATGCAAAATTAAATTCTCTTTCATTTAGTAAAAAAAATTGGGGCCTTCCATTTGAAAAAATTCAGTTACGGGTATTTGAAGTTTCCCAAACGTAACCTTAAATTCTGGAGGTTTATTAATTATTTTTCCAATTATAAATACACGAAAGAACAGATGTAACTTTTTTTTTATACGATTCCAAAATAATTAAAAATGCTAGAGTTATCGATTTTTGGAGAGGAAGGTGCAAATTAAAAAAAATCAAAAAAATCTAAATATTTCAAACTCTCTCAAAATCACTTGGGTAATCCAAAAACGCCATAAGAAATATAACTTTCTATTTAAAATGACGAAGTTTAACCCATTTCCGGTGTAACCGTGCTGCCGTCTTGAAAATATTTTCATTGAGAAAAACCTAACCGATTATGGCTACAAACATAATTTTAGATAAATATCAGTGTTAAAACTCCCAATACTTCTAAGATGAGGTTTAGCCAGAACAGGTATATTATAAATGTGCTTTTTACTCGCTTTTTTACTTATTTTACTTTATAAGTTTACTTTTTTAGGCCATAATGCTAAAATAGAATTTGATTTTTTATAATTATTGAAAACAGGCTCTTTTGCTGATCCAATTATTCAGGATAGAGATAACCATTTCTACGTTATGAGTCCGGACTCCGGAGTCTCAAATTTATTTTTATATAATCTTCAATCCGTTTAAACCGGTCGACTCTGCACCAGCAGGAATAACGAACAGATCGATAGTGTTAGTGACGTTGTAGACCCGCCCATGACGTCATTCTCTAACTGGCAGCTTCGCTTTGAAATCCTGATTCCAGAAAATAAACATCAAAAATAATCAAATAAATTATTATTAACTTATTATCACTATAGTGGCCCAAAAGATAGAAGATATTTCCTAAGAACCTTGTATTGATTATTAAAAACACCTTGTTTCTCAGTAAAATTTCAATATTCATGGTCAGAAAAAGTAATTATAATTTATTAGAAGTAATCCATTATTTTTTTACTTACCCAACACATTTGCTAGGTCTTACTAACACCAATCTGGAACAAAACGAATTATTGAGTTTACTTTTATTTTCAGCTAAGACTTCAAACTATAGGTCAACACAAAATTTAAATAAACCTATTTATATGTAAAATTGTAGTTTTACCACCTATTTTTCCTAAAAAAATCAAATCAAACATCAAAAAGTATATTAAAACAGTGTTACAAAGTATCAGGAGTATCACAATGAGAGGTTGTAACACGTATTTTATATACTATTTTTTCTATTGAGCGCTTTATATTTGACAGTTAAAATTGATGACATTTCGCTTGAAAATAGCTGAAACTGGATCAGTTTTGATGAAATACTGATCTACAACAATTTCTCACTTAAAAACAACAGTTTGTAGTCAGTGATGGCATAAAATGTTTCCAAAAACAGTGTCACAAAAAGCATTTTGTGTAATTGAAAACAGCACAAAATGCTCATTGACACTGAAATAAAAAAAATTATTTTATGTAATTCTAGGTGAAATATGCCAATTAGATGAGAAAATATGAAATTTTGGATATTCGTTTTATTTTTCTGAAAGTTATTTATGTTCCCAACATAATTTCACCAAACAAAAAGTTAAAAAATATGTATTGACAAGTGCAACCTTTAAAACAATTATTTCAAGCTACGTTTGCTTAACATCTTTTGTTGTGTGTTAAATGGGGAACATGAACGTGTTCTTGCATCCAAGTAAAGTATGTAAATGCGTATTGAAACAACTATTGAAAAGAATAAAGCCAAGTCAATGATTTACTTCATCCTAAAAACACTCGCTGAAGAGTTGTTAAGTAAAAGCAAAGAATATCTGAAGCAAGAAAACCGGGTGCGGTTCAGCCTCGCCCTCTACCGGGCCAGTATCGATCCTGCATGAAGACCGAAACATGCCAGGGACAACACATTCCTCTTTGCAGAAATACAAATACATTGTATATCATGTAATATGCCTACAGAAATAATAATAAATGTTTTTCTAAATATTCATCGCTCAACCTAAAACACTCTAATTAGGTTGGAGCTTAAATTTAAGCCCCTAAGCTTCGTAATAATAACAGTAAGGATTTAGACATAAATAAATTGTTTTAATCACATGTGCTAAAAAAGGGGAAAACAGAATAGATTTTCTTTTGAACAAAAACCAAATTGCCATTGATGCACCCGTATTGCGTTTGAATTTACAAACACTTTGTAAAATTAATCAAATTACTTACCCACATGCAGCCAAATGCAGAAAATGGAAACAGTAGCTCTCAAGTCATAATCTGAAACAAGTATCAATTTTGAAATAATTAATGAAACGGTTTTTAAAGCAAATAAAAGTTGGTGATTAATTCTTAATTTTGTATGTTTTTAGTCTGTAAATGTTTACTTTCCACTCAATCTATGTATACCTTGCTTTAAACAAATTAACAAATTGTGTTTTAATGCAAAATAGAATAGGCCAACAGAAGTTACGATAGTGTGGTTCTTACAATCTCAGAGAGGACAGAGAAACGGGACTTAAGGTCAATAGTCATGTAATAGTCATACACTATTACTTCAGAGGCGCAAGAACAACCAAAAATAGGTGAACTACTTTTGCTAAGGTTTATTATATAAAATCAGTTCATTAATTTTCCTAAACAAATGGTGATTGTGTGCGAAATATAGTTTTGCTCCTAACAGAGAATAAAGAAACGCTTTATTTCCTCGATTTTTAATAATAATAATAATACTTAATAAAATTAAAAGTAATACAAAGATGCGGAGGCGAAGTCTAACTAAAAGCTATTCAACTTAACCTCAACAGAAAATTAATGGTAGAAAAAAAAACTATAATAACTTATAAAAATAAAAATATTTAATCTAAACAATATAAAATTTTAATAAAAATAAATTCGGAAGTTACTTAATAACTAAAAGTAAAGAAAGAAATCATTGCCAGTCTCTCAAAAACAAAAAGAAAAAACAAGAAGGAATTCTTTAAGAAGAAATGAAAAAAAAAAGAACAGAAATAAATTGTTTTGCATTTATTTTGCTAACTCAGTTGAGCAAAGTTAATTGTGCTTAATCTGGTTACTTCATTCCATTGGGAATAAAATAAGTGAGATACAGATTTGTAATCGTAAAATAAGTACACTGGAAATGAATGAATTGAATCTTTTGAGTCTTTTTTGACATACAAACTCCTTGGTCCATAATTTAGATTAAAATTGCAATTGAATTGACTGAATTTTTTCATTGTTTGATTTTATTTCTTACATTATTAATTTAGTCTATTGGGAGGAATGTTTTGTATGCATCTTTGGAATAAACTTCGTTATATGCCTCAAACCTACATTCTCGAGATAATTATTTGTTCCCTTGATACATAAATAACATTTTTTTTTATCTAGTGGCAAAAAATTTTGACCTAATTGAACTTAAACCGTAATATATTTCTTTCTGATTTTTCTTTATTAATAATAACAGACATTAGTTGAATAATTCAAGTAATAATAAGATTGATTATTAGTTTTAGGTGAGACAGTGTAAAACATTTATTTATGTTCAAAATGTAACATGTTGCAGTGCATGATAGCACATTTGGTAAAACCTGGCGTGACCTCCATGTAGCACCCTCTGCATTAATATTCAACAAATTATTATAGGACTAAAAGTTACGTCAACTGTGTTACACCAAACTCGGCCCTATTACCACAATACTTTACAATGCAGACAAAGAAAAGTGTCGCGTGATTGCTACCAAAGAACTGATTCGTTTTGAATTCATACCATATAATAAAAGAAATGAAATGTTGATTAAACGGGCTAGTGGAATTTTTATGTCTTTTATGTAGATATGAATAAAAAATGAAAATTTCCCACTTGCTTACAAAACAGAAATAATTTTTGAACTTTGTAAATCTATTTTTTAATTTATTATTTATTTAAGGAATTTTTAATTTAAAACTAATCTACATACTGGGTGAATAAGAACTACGAAAATAAAAGTACAAAAAAAAATTAATAAAAATAACATCGTTTTTTCAACATTTTTCGAATTTTGAGTTTAAAAAAAAAAATTAATGGCAAATTTTTGTGATGAGCTCGGAAGGCAACTTTAAGAATTTATTAAAAAAAACTACTCGATAAAAAAATATTTAATTAGAGGTCATTTTTAGCTCATAGTCTAATTAAAAAAAATGTCATAGTAGGTATTTTGCATCGTGTTTCATACAAGATTTTTTCCAATTTGGTTGTGAAAACCATCAAATTGGAATTTTAAATCTGTGATTAAATTTCAATAATTTTCCAAAATCATACTAGTGTTATTTGTTATCTTTAAATCACACTTTTTAACACTAATGATAAAATAATGTCATATTTTATAACTAGTGATAAAATTAAGAACAATTGACAATAAAATGACATATCACAATGGTTGCTTATCACAACCAAATTGGAAAAAATAATTTTTTGGAAAACTCGAAAACTAAAAAAATAATTTCGGAAAATTTTATTCATGAAAAACGATCACATTTTTATAATACTTTACACTGAACTAATTATTTTTTCGTAAAGTAATTAGTTTATGCAAAAAATGCTTGATTCCACACTTTTTATTCACCTGGTATAATATTAGTTACATAAATATAGAAAATTTACAGTTTGATAAATCTTTTTAAAAAATAACTGATACATAGTCAAATTAGAATAAGCTGATTAAAGGAACGAATATTTTATTCATGAATAAATAATTCAACAAACTTGAAAGTACATAAAATAAATTATTAATTAAAATTTAGGATGCACTTTATTCTTAATCCAACATCAAAATTAAACCTTCTAAAGCTCATCGTCATAAAATCAATCTTATTACGCATATTTTAATGATTTATATTAGTTATCATGAAGACAGGTATATGCGCATTGGCAACAAAAAACTTTCTCCGTCTATATTATGAAATTAAACCCAGATTTGCTTAAACAATGGATTATAACAATAACAGTTAACTGAGTCATCTGCTTTCCACTTGTTTTAATAGTAATTTTACCAGACGACACGGTAAAATTAAATATTTATTTAATATTCGCTTCTACATCCTGCACACATAACTGTTACAAACTTTGCAACCAAAAGATGAAATGTTTAAGTTTGCCTTTAAATACTATTTTACAAAACAGGAGACACGGTATACCAAATTATTTTTTGAAGAAACGCCAGTCAATTAGTAACATAATGGAGCATTTCACTTATGTACCTGTTAAATGAATGCCAATAGTTATGAAATAAAAAACACAAGTCAAAGAAATTGAGGTCAAGGTCTTTAAAACTTTGAATCGCACATCATCATGTCCACTGTTATTTTAAATTGATACATCTTTTCAAAAAGGAAAATAATTTCCACTTTACTCTTTCTTTCACATAAAAATGCAAAAATCATACCCGGAAAAAATAGTAACTGTTATTAGAAGCTGCGGATTTCTTCAGTGGTTTGGATTTCATGCATTCATCGTACTTTTATATTTAAAAAAGTAACGCAATTTTCTGCATCGAAATTTATTTTGAGGATCTCTAAAAATAACCGTTTTCCACTGTCTAAAAATAAACAATTTTTTAAATAACATGTTTCTAGAAGCTGTTACACATTTCAAGACATGTAAACAAATTTTTTCTTGTCAAGTACCTCAACATTCCATCAAAAATTACTACTCGCGCTATAAATGAACTGTACCTTACGTAAAAAAATAACTTCCACACAAATACTCTAATTAAATTAACCGTTAAAATTGCTAGTTGGTAATTGTGTATTTTGTTACCTTATTTACACAATATGTATTTCTCAATATTTTTAAACAGACAAACTCCAGCAGTGGAATTTAATTAATTTCAGTATTTGTAAGCAGGTGCATTGTTATTAAAATGATTTTTTTGTCGAGAAGCTGCATAAGAGCGCATTCTTGTGTTCCACTAGAACGCTCTCTTAGGACGTTTTGCTTGGATGCATTCGAGTATATTCACCTGAGACAATTGAAAAGCTCTCCCATGAAATGCATTTCTAACGTAAATACATGCACTTTTTTTCTAATAGCAGTAATGAATGAATATAAATACATTTTGCAACATTATTTTTCTCTTACAATTCTATACAAAGTCCAATGACACTTGTAAATGGTACATTGTTACCATATGAAAAACATTATGAGCCAAACCTCAAGCTTTCTTTTGTCACCCATGTCAATAGATCGATTTAAAAGGAACCTGATGTTGCAGCGTCTGTTAACCGTTTTTCTGTCTTCTTTGTATTTTCGATTGGGCTAAAGAAGGCGACCTTCAACCACGGCTAACGTACTACAAGACTGATTCAACGGTCTTCATGGAATTTCTCTACCAACACTCTGCAGGTTAATTGCCCAACGGACGTTGAGCTTGCGAGTACGAAAAATAAGTACGCTAAAAATATCAAGTATTTTCTATTTTCATTTTAACCCGGTGATTGGGCCCCCTATAAATAAAATTATAGTGGAACCATCGAATTTCTTCTTAATCATTATCTAAGACAAGTATGAGTTTTATTTTTTAGGTATATTAAATTTGTTAAGTATTGGGTAAAAATTGCAAGACTGAAAAGTAAGTGAGCAATAAGAAGCACCTACGCAAAAAAGTAAAATTTATTAACTGGCAAAATCATTGTGCATGAAAAAAGAATATCTGTGTGGGTTTGCTTTATGCCAATTGGGTTTGTACCATGAAATACCAATAACATTTTTTGTGATTGCAATGATTTTAAATGATTTCTAAACCCAAGTGTAATTTATTTAGTCACTCACCTGTTAGTAAAAGGGCTGTAATCCAAAATGAAAAATAAAATTGTAAAGCCAAAATTTAAGCGAAAATCGACATACCACTTTCACTAGATTCACTTTTTGCACACTTTTGGTCGGAAAAAAAGTAAGAAACGGAGGAATTTCGGATACAATCACGTTTGTTAAAGAAAGCAGTCACACAACGACCGTTTCGTCACGAAATGATCCCAGGTTGTAGCGTTTGAACAACCGCCCTACTCAATCCATATTATACCCGGAGTCGCTTGCGTAGTAGAAGGCAACTGCCGGTGCATAGGAAGTGGAAATGCAATTTTCGAGTTTTAGATGTCTTCTTTCGAAAGTGTATTGTTACACTGAAGCTGTGGTTTCCCTGTGATTTGAACCAGGAGGGAGATATTTATAAGTCTTCCAACTTCCACCAAGGCTGGATCAAATTCGGTGTATTTTTACTTGTTATGACAATTTTAACAGTAGAAAAGCATTCATAACATTGTAAATATGGTTTAGATGTTTCAATAAATATAGAAACATTGTTGATACTTTCGATTGCCGCTGCAAAAGCAACATAAATTTCAGTTTCAGCAGCTACACTAGGTGGATACTTCCTTCAAAACTGGTTCCGTGTTAATGACTTTGTCTCCGGTCCAACAAACTTATTATATAAACTTGATGACTATCATTCATTAACAACTTCTACAATTATTAAGTAAACGCATCTACGATTTTTAAAAAGTTGCAAATTTCAAAGACAAATAACATCAAAAAGAAAATTTTACCTAAATTAACACCTAAATTGAAGCAACAAAAAGATACCTTACTTTATGTTAAATTAATAAAAAAATAGATAACGTTACATGTAATAAATGCAAACATGGTTAAATATTTTTTCTATCTTCATTCATTAAAGACTTACAGCTTAGTAAAAAGTAACAATGAATTAAAAACGATGACATTTATGAAACAATTGCTCCGAAAACGATTAATTTATGAAAACAAAATAGCTTTTGGAAAAAAGTAACTTTAACAAATGAAGATTGTATAAAGAAATATTTAAAGAATTTTTCTCAGAATGACATTTTCTATCACTGGTTGATTTATGGCGGTTTATTTTAAGACATCCTGTCTACTAAAAAAAAATGTTAAAAAATGCTATTTTACCAGGATATTTATGCAAAAAAACAGTGAAACATGACCAAATATTTTTTTACGTTTTTGGAGCTTTCGTTGGCGATTTTTAATAATTTTTTCAATGCCCAATTGTTGGTAGTCTATACAGGGTAAGGCAGAACTCGCGCCACAGAGAAAAATTCTATGTAAGAAACATGGAAAAAATATTATTTTTTTTTTTATCTAGGTATACAAATTTAGAAGTTATGATAGTTTAAATTTTGCACTTTGACTCTATTTATTTCTGTTGGAAAAATGCTCTTCCAAGTTTTTTTGCTTCAGGCTATTAGAAGAGGAAACAACTTAAATTGTAATGTTATTTGAGACTTTTATTGGCAAAATTTTTATACCTTTACTAAATAATTATAAAAAAACATTATACAAGATTATCTGTATCATTAAATAGACATAAAAAATGTCAAATGTCAAAATTTTTGGACAGAAAATTTTTTAAACAAATTTTTCATGTTCCTGGTATCTTATCTTACCTGAAATTTTTCTCTGGGGCGCGAATTCTGACACATCCTGTAGATCTTTGAGTACCACTTTTATGGGGACAAAATTATGATTTTTTGAAAGATTTTATTTTTGGTCATTTCGTATCCTCATTTGGTTGATTTCTAAGATTTTTTGGGTACTTTTGGGGTAACTTTGTCTGATTTTGGGTGATTCTCAAACAAGTTAGGGTTTTTAAAGTATTTTCGTTTGTTTCATTATCTTCCTTTGGTCGTTTTCAATGAGTTTTTGCACAAATAAGCAAAAAATAAAATAAAAATTAAAATTTGACATATTATGCTAAATATCCTGGTCCAGAAGTGACATTTTGTAAATGTGCAAGTATACTTACTAAAAAAATACCGAATTTATATTTTTCTTTGCGGTATTTCAAATCAAAGACCTATCACGATTTAAAGTATTTTTAAATTTTTGAGGTAATAGTTATTTGTATTACAAGTGCGGAAAGTGTACCTTTTCCTCCCACAAGTGCTCGAGACTCGTATAGTTAAAATTCGAAAAAAAATATCATAAATTTAAGGTAAATTATTTTTCCTCCCTGAGAGGTCACATATACAGACTGCCCATTTTATTTGTTCCCGTCTGAAGGAGCAAAAATAGGCAACATACTATACATTTTGTAAACTATTTTGTGTAAAGTATTAACTATTCTAAATCGAATAATCATAATCGGTGCTCGACTATTAAAATCTTCAAAAAGAATTAAATTCAAAACTTAAATGTATAATAATGGAAACAACAGCAAGAAATTTAAAAAAATATTGTATTATTGGTTGCCTATTGATAAAATTTTAGGGGGAAGAACAGATAAAAGGGGCAGCCTGTATTTTTATTGTATGCGGGAGAAAAATTACATCCCTTGGAAGTTATTGGCCATTTTCATTCCCGAAATAAGGGTGTAAAACTTACTTTGTTTCGGTCACATGCTTTTTTTTCTTATTCAATAAAAATAACGTGAAAAATTGGTGTCCTAAAGCTGGCGTGATATATACAACCAGTAATACACCAGCGTTAACGAGCGAAAAAGGTCACCGTTTATTTTTCTCACAGGTTTTGTGGGGTATACTTCCGTTACAATTTTGTAGTTTTTCAAGTCGTAAAAACATTACTAAATTGTCCATTAAAAAATAATAAACTCGTATTTTTTACTTTCTTTCAAATTTAATGCCAACCTAACAAAACATAAATTCTACAGTGTGATTTTTTAAAAATGAATTTCGAAAGTCGTGTATTTCAGTTTCAACACTAATCTAATTTTGTTTCATCCCCGAGGTTCATAATACAGTCCACCCCTTTGTTAGAATATAAATCACCTGATCACTTGTATACATAACCTCACTTTTAAGTTTACGAAACGTCAAAGCAAAATCGAAAAGGGGCGTCGAATACAATAATGAGTAAACATCCCTACAATTACGGGGCTACTGCGTCCACTGACGTGGGTTTCATGGGTAAACGCTCCCCCGAATTCAACAATTTATGCGACAATGTCGTTACAAATATCTACACAATCAATTCAAGCCTAAAGACCTTAGATAACGCTTTAAAAACAATCGGAACCAGAAAAGACAATCAGGGATTAAGAAGTTCAATGTAAGTTATCAACATTTCATTCCAGAAGTAAACAATCTCTTAATTTTAGACACGTCACTCAATTGAGCACAAACCAGATAGCATCAGTCACAAGCAAAGATATTCATAAGCTTAAGCAACTTGTATCCAAAAGCGAAAAACAGCAGCAGTTACAAGTAGAAAAGTTGGAAGAGAATTTCAAAGAAGCAATTACGCGTTATTATTCGTTGCAAAAAGACTTGGCCAATAAGCAGAAATCACATTTATTAGTTTCTGTAAGCATAGAAAATGATTATTTGCCAGAAGAAGATACAGAACTACAACGGCAAGCACAGCTTGCACGTGAAATGGCGTTTGAAAAAGATATGCTCGTGGAAAGAGAAGCTAGGATTAAACAGATTGAAGCCGATGTACTTGATGTAAATGAAATTATGCGCGAATTGGGGTCTTTAGTACACGCCCAAGGGGAAACGATCGGTATTGACTTGATTTACGAAAATTATCGGGAAATAATCTTTTCTGTTTAAGATACTATTGAAAATAGCATAGACCATGCGACTGGTAACGTGGAGGAAGCGACAGAACAGTTAATGACAGCGGCCAGTTATCAGAATAAGTATAGGCGTAAGTTGCTATTTTTAGTACTGATAGGACTTGCAATAATCGTAACTATTATTATAATACTAGTTGTAGAGTTAAAAAAGTAGCTGCGTAATAGTATTTTTCTTTATACTCAAACCTGTTTTTGTGATGAATACCAACTGCTTGTTACGTTTATATTATACACATACAGTTTTATACTAACTAATCTTATTCATAGAATTTATATTTATTTATGTAATTCTTATAATCACCTAAAAATATTACTGAGTGAATTCTACTTTTTTTTCTATGATCCTAAAAATTTAGCTGTTTTCCCAAAAGTCAACAACCGAAAAAGACCTAAAACCCTTTAAAACGCATTAAATTTTATGCATCCCAAAAGTACCAAAAATCTGTAGACCACCAAAAATTGGTCACACGAAAAAACTGTTGAAATCTCTCAAAACAATGCAAAATTACGCCCTAAAAACTAACAAAATACCTTGTTTTTACACACCCCAAAATGGCTTTTTATTTCTGGACCAAGCCATTTGGCGCATGCAAAAAAAGGGAACAACACCAAACCAAGGAGGGTTGGTACAAGGACATTTGGCGTCCTAAAAACAGGGTAGAATCTTACAAATTTAGCTCTTTTTCTAAAAGTAATCAACCGAAAAAGACCTAAAATCACCAATTTTTATGCGCCCCAAAAATACTCAAAAATCAGAAATTGGGCACATGAGAGAACCGTTTAAAATCACCCAAAATCAAACATAAAGCACCCAAAAAACCTTACAGCATTCCTTGTTTTTACACACCCAAAAATGACTTTACTTCTGGACCAAGCCAATTGGCGCATGCAAAAATCTTTGAAAAAGAGCCAAAAATCTTATTCAAATTTATCAGATTTTCGAACCCTTCAAATGAATTTTTATTTCTGGACCAGGACGTTAGAGCACTGCTTTTTATTGATGGATGAGGATAATAACTGGTAAAATAAAAAAAACAAAAGTCTTGTGTGAATAGGGATAAAATTAGAATAAAAAATATTGTTAAACAAAAAATCATCTAATAAAATTTGGTAAAATCTCTAAACATCTTTCTTATTTTTCATTTACTATTTTCATTTATTATTAAAAAAATATACAATTTTTATTAATTATTATTTATTTATTAAAATACAAAGATTGTTAGATTATTTTATCAACTAACTGAAATGAAAATACATACACCTAGTAAACAAAAAAAAAGAAAAAATACAGGGTGATTCACGAGGAATAATGAGCCTGACCAAATTCTCGATGCAACCAACATTACATTTTCATAGGTCAGGTAATTTCAAAGATTTTTTGTAATAAATATGAAATTTTAGCGAGCACACTTACAATTTGTCAGTTTTGACATTAAAATAATGAAAAACAGAAATAATTGAGCACCCATTCAAGCTTCATCCAGTGGTACCCTTCGCTTTACACTTTCATTTATTTTCATTATAAATTATATTTTAGGAGCAGTTCTTTTTTAGAACAAAGTAATCTAGTTACGAATTTATAAAATTAAATTTGAATTTTTAACAACATTGCTTTTTCCCGATTTAAAATATTGATAGTATGTCTTATCTTATGCTAATGTAAATCCATTTTGCCACATACATTTCACTAATATTAGAATTTAATTTAACAATAGCATATCAATCAGAAGGTGCGAAACTAAATTAAAAAAACTAATTCGTGGTATTTTCAAATAATTAATTTTGCTTTATTTCTTTTAATTTCGATGACTAAAAAGAACAAAACATTGTGACGCCACAATGATAGTTATAATAAAATGAATTAGAATAAACAAAAAATAAATTACATAATTTATTAAAAAAATTTGTTCCTTTTTTTACAGAAAATTACAAAATTACAGTTTTCAAACTATTTACTCTAGCGTTCCGTAATGGCATGTCTCTAGCCAGTTCCAAAATGTACCACCAGAAGAATTTGTCGCTTGTGTATAGACGGAAAGCCGTTCAAACAAGTTTTCAAATGAAAAAAAGAAAAATTGAATTTTTAAGAAATACAGTAAACAAATAGTTTTTTTTACAATTGGATGTTGTTCCTGAATTAAAAAAATACCTCACACACAGTAACATAGAGTTTTTATCTCATTTTGAATATTTGCAACGGATTGCAATATTTAATAGTTTTTATTTTTTTATGAAAAAACGCATTATATCAATTGCATGAAAAAAATACAAGGTAATCTGCAATACACCAAAAATAAATCAAAAAATTCTTCCTAAAGTTTTGTTAGGTATAAAAAAATAAAATGGTCAAAAATAAAGGTTTTTTTAAATCTATTTTTAAGCGGCACTGACAAAAAATTTCAAATTAATATGTGTGTGTGTGTAAAATAAAGTTGAAACCCCCTACAAATGAATAATAAACTAATAGAAATGTATAACAAACAGTTAAACGCATAGATAAATAAAAAATTAAATAAACAAAATCTTAAATACCCTATTCTTTATAATTTCAGCTACCAAGTCCTTAAAATAAAAATCTCTTAAAAAAGAGATACTACATAAAGACAAATTTCACAAAATTACAGGAAGCAAAGATAAGATTTCAAAATTTGAATAAGCTGTACGAAAACAAACTTGAAAAAAAATGCAGTGAAAATTGATTCAGATGCAACGGACTGTGTTTTTACTTATTATATAATAATATAGGTATAATTATTCCCTAAAAAACCCAAGATGGTCTGAAGTTACAGTACGTCGTTGTGTACATTTCTTCAAAAGGTTATGAATTTGCAAGAAGAAATCAGTTTTTAAAAACTCCATCCAAAACAACTTTAAACAGAAATAAGGGAAATTCTCAAGGATTTTCTCAAAGCAAAAAAATAATAGAGAATTAATTACGAGTAATACAGAGTAAAATTAATCCTTGTGTAATAAAGAGTTATTGTAATTTTAATGTTCTTGTAAATTTGTAAAGATTAAAAATAACTATCTAACCCAAATGTAAACCTTTGTTTTCTTTAATAAATAAAATTATATTTGCTTATAAAATCTTATAATTTTTCATGTTATTGGTTGGAAAAAATTACAATTAACAAAAAGCTATTATACAACTCATAAAATACAAAAGTGAATTTTTGTATACAAAAATTTATCAAGGTTTCAAACTAAAATATACAGATTCCACTTTTTATTACTGTCAATCAAAGCAGACGACGCAAAAAAGATTTCTTTTTTAATGGATGAAAGCGTCCTCTCTCGCAAAAAATTAGAATTCCAAACGTCATCAGCAGGACGTGTATTTGAGAGAGTTTCGTTTTTTAAGAGAAAAACAAGTCGAAAATCATGGCAGAAGCAATGAAACAAACTGTGGCAACGATGCTTAAGGGAATTGAACGGTATGTCATAATATTTCTATTGCTTTCTTTGTCAAAAATAACCATATGTCTACTTAACCTTACTTTTCAGTTACAACCCTGATAATTTGCCGACTTTGGAGCACTATGTGGAAATACAATCACGCGAAAACGCCTATGATTTAGAGGCCAATCTAGCCGTCCTCAAACTTTATCAATTTAATCCTACTAGCTTCAATATTGATATAACAAGCCAAATTTTGTTGAAGGCTTTGACGAATCTTCCAAATACAAATTTTATTTTGTGTAAATGCTTATTGAATGAGCGACAGGTAAACTAATTTAATTAATAAGAACCTGTTTTGATTAATTAATCAATTTTTAGCTAGCGGAAGAACCCATCAATCAAATTATCTACTTGGCCGACATTTTAGAGCAGTGCGATTTTCAATTGTTTTGGACCAGAATCCACTCAATGCCCGAATTGACCCAACGAATTACCGGATTTTTAGACTCGATACGGAAATTTGTGTGTCACGTGGTGGGAATTACGTATCAGACCATTGAAAAGTCCCATTTGGCCGAATTATTGGGAGATGTTGACGATCTTACTTTGAAAGTTTGGGTTAATAAGTATGGATGGAAGGAGCAAGGCCACTTGATTTTCATTGCAAATCAAGACGAGAACATCAAAACTAAAAATATTAACGAAAAAATTGACTTTGAAAATGTTGGAGCTATTATGGCTTCGTGCCGTTGACTCGTTTCTTTTGTATTATTAATTTCTCAATAAAAACTTACCTCCGATTCCGTAGCTCCCTCTATGTTTGTTTCTGCAAAGTTTTACAAAATGGAAGATGGTTAGTGCCGGTGTTTCGTGTCGGACTGTCAAGACCAGTGTTCGAAGAAGACACCGCAGAGCTTTCAAAAGGAATTTAAACCGGCGTTCTCGCAGAAAACGAAGTTTGTTGAGGTACTATAGTGAACTACGAGAATTGCGGTTTAAACGTAAAACGGACGATTTGTGTGCCGACATTACAGTATTTGATATTACCGACATGGAGTGGACGCCGGTTTCGTCTACAGCAACAGAGGTCGCTGAGTGGCACAAACAGGAACAAGTTGCTTATTGGAAATCGCGCGCTTTGAGTCTTGAATACGAAAATAAAATGTTGATTAGACACCTTCGAAACGTTTATGCTAAACAAACAGAGGATTATGCGAATTATCTAAAGGACCAAGGGCAGATTGAAGATGTTGCCGTGGAAACAGACACAAGGCATGTCCCATTGGTTGAACCCGTTGGTAAAAAAAGGCGGGAAGAAATGGACAAGTTGTATGGAAAAAAGGCGTCGAAGATCATGGGAATGGAGACTGCTGTTCAGTTAAATTACGACCTGCATTTAGAGGACGCTGGGAAGCTGGCTCATTGGCCCCACACTCCCTTAAATCTAAGATTTGATAATTAGCTGATTGATTAAATAAAGCTTGGTATTAATCTTGGTTTTATTGTGGTAATTACGGATGATCCTGAATTTAATCCCTACAGTGATGATGTGACTGGCCGTGTAATTATGAAGATAATGACACATTCGTGTGCATTTTTATTATAATTTATTTTACATTAGAGACGAGTAGTTCAGATTACACTCTTTTTCTCAGACTGACTTCAGACGTCAGTAATTAAAAAGAAATAAAACTTTTTACATTCCCTGTGCATAATTGAGCGTATTTAGATTTTGCATTGTTACATAAATAGACAATTCTGGTCAAATTATAGGAGGTATTTCCGGTTTTTACCACGCACGGACGACTTTTTTAACTTTTAAAAAAGATGTAGTTTGGAGATTCACTCGACGTGTGAACGTTTCGTAATGTGAAAGAATAAGATAAGGACGTGATACGAGACTCTTAAATTAATCGAACCGATAGAATCTAATTAATCCCAATGCCATCTCGGCCGTTAGAACAGCTTATGATGCGTGCCTCCATATATGAAACTGCCCTATCCGTGTTGCTGTTGAATGCTGATGATAATTAGATTCGAATACCGTCTTCCCGCACAAATTTCAAACACACGAATTAATTATAAACTTTATTTCGCCAACCGTTTTTGTTTTCGTCTAAAAGATAACAAATTACTAAAATATTCAAAATGCTGTTTATGGATTTGAATCCTCATTTTAATTTCAAAGCGAGCTTATTTATTGGATGTTTTTAAATTTATAACAATTTATTTATGTTGAGGCATTTTCTTTTACTCTACAGTTAACTATCTTAGAAAAATAGTTTACTTTATTTATATAAACAATATTTTATATTTGAGTGCAAATTTACATAATTATGACTTTATTTCAATATTTAACTGTAAATTATTCACCTATATTCGTTTTTACTAAACATAAAGGACAATGACTTGATAGGTATGAATATGTAGGTAAGTAAACGCATTTATTGTCGCTTTTTTTCTAAAATAACTGAAAGCTCTAACAAGTTGTAAGCATCCATATTTAAAGTTTTCCTTCAGTTTTTACTTAGGTAACTTAGAAATGCCTTACAGAATAAGTACCATAACATTAGTAGGATGTAAAATGTTACTTCTGGACCAGGGCATTTAGCGTCTTAAAAAACTGGTGGAAGCTTACCTACAATTCTTAAAAAAGCACCATTTTTTATGCACCTCAAAAGTAGGCTTACCCAAATATCTGTAGACCACCAAAAATTGGGCACACGAAAAAATAGGGTAGAATCCTACAAATTTAGCTGTTTTCCTAAAAGAAAACAACCAAAAAAGACGTAAAACCCTTCAAAAATCATTCATTTTTATCAGCCCCAAAAATATTCAAAAATTTATAGACACATGAGAAAACTGTTGAAAATTAAACATATTTACTTAACTTAAAAGCATCCAAAAAACCTTACAAAATCTGTTTTTAGACACCCCAAAATGGTTTTTTTACTTCTAAATCAGTACATCAGTATTTCTAAATTACCGGGCTGAAAGGCGACCGGTAAAAATATTACACAAATAAAATACCTTGTTTTTAAACACCCCAAAGCCAAGCCAATTGACGCATGTAAAAACCATTGAAAAACGACCGAAAAAGAGCCAACAATCTTATTCAAATCTCTCAGGTTTTCGACCCGTCAAAATGGATTTTTACTTCTGGACCAGGGTACTAAAAAATGTAGGTACTAAAAAAATTCTGAAAATTAGTCCCAATTAGTTATTAAAATTAACGAGGACAAAGTTCCTTATTTTTAGACAGATACCCCAAAATGGCTTTTCATTGATGGACTAGGATAATAACTACCTAGTAAAAAAAATATCAACAGTCTTGTCTGAATAAGTTTAAAATTAGAATAAAAAATATAGTCAAACAAAAAATTAAAGAAATTAAAAACAGCATGTCTCTGGTTATATTATCAAGTTTGTCATCTAATGAACTTTGGTAAAATTTCTTAATATCTCAACATATTCGATCTAGTTTTATCATTAATGAAAATTGCTGATTTTTCATTACTTTTAAACCCACCCCAAATTTTTAACGGTTTTCTCATGTGCCCAATTTCTGGTGGTCTATAGACTGTGAGTATTTTTGAGTGTTTAATCTTCATTAAACAAAACTATAGCTATGGGCCAACGTAGCAATGTAGTTTATATTTCAATTAAAAGTTGTAGTACCTATGCATAATTGTTTTAGAATTACATTAGGTTAAGAATTGCAGAAGTAATATTTTTTATAATAAATTCAGTATTGATCGAACCGCTGATTGATTAGTACTCCTCCATCCCTTAACATTGAGGCTCATAAAAATGAAATTTTTTAAGGATTTTACGTCTTTTTCGACTGTTTACTTTTGGAAAAACATCTAATTTTTAGGATTCTGTCTTGTTTTTTTTAAGGCGCCAAATATCCTGGTCCCATCCCTCTTTGATTTGGTGTTGTTTTTCCCTTCTTTTGCTTGGTCCAGAAATAAAAAGCCATTTTGAGTGTTTAAAAAGAAAACTTACAAAAGGTATTTTTTCCCTCTTTGATTTGGTGTTGTTTTTCCCTTCTTTTGCTTAGTCCAGAAATAAAAAGCCATTTTGAGTGTTTAAAAAGAAAACTTACAAAAGGCATTTTTTGTAAGTTTTTTAGAGTGCTCTCAACGGTTTTTTCCTGTGTCCAATTTTTGGTGGTAAAATATCCACGATACAACCTGATTCAGACTTAGCTGAATTGTCAATTTTAATTATAAGTAAATAGAACTGCTTATTCAGACCATTTTTATTTAATAATTTAATATCTATCCATATGAGTAGAAAACTTTATTGAAATAATGTGAAAAAATGTTTGCTACAAAATGAAAAGTTTTGCAAGTATTTTAGAATTTACAAAAAAAGCTCTATGATGCTGTAAAAACAACAGAAAAATATGATTGATCAATTGAACTAAAGCAAACGTAAAAATCACCAATTACGTCTTCAATTTACTTTTTCGGAGATATTTAGGTGTTTTTGGGGTTTGGGGTGCATAAAAAGTAATGCTTCTTGAAAGATTTTAGTTTTTTTTCGGTTGTTTACTTTTAGGAAAACAGCTAAATTCGTATGTAGGATTTTACCGTGTTTTTTAAGACGCCAAATGCACTGATCCACAAATAAAAAGCCATTTTGGGATATTGAAAAACAAGGCATTTTGTAAGTTTTTGACATTTTTTTCGGTTGTTTACTTTTGGGAAAACAGCAAAATTTGTAGAATTCTACCCAATTTTTGGTGGTCTAAAGATATTTGGGTATTTTCGGGGTGCATAAAAATTGGTACTTTTTTAAGAATTTTAGATCTTTTTTGTTTTTTTTTTTGAAAAACAGCTAAATTTGGAAGATTCTACACTATTTTTTAAGACGCTAAATGCCCTGGTCCAGAAGTAACATTTTACATCTTGCTAACATTCAAGGGGCCATCTAACACCTGATTGAAGACAAGCAGCGTAAAATTAAGACTTTGTGGAAGTAATTTAATAATGTACTCGTACCACCAAATGATTAGAGTTAGGGTTTTCAATAAGAAATCCAAATGAAAGGAAAAGTTATTTTTTTAAAGTGCGGAAAGTTGCAAATTGCTGCATAATTTAATGTTTATTTCTTCATTTCAAAATTTTTGATGTTTAGATTACGAGAATTTTTGGAGATTTTCGAAATATTCGTTGTCTGAAGTTTGGTTGCCTTTTTCTATTTCGTCATCGCGCTTCATTAATCACATCACTGTTTTAAATTCACTTTTTTCACTTCCCAGAATTCGATCGGTTTCTTTCGCCTTTCGTGGTCTATCGGTTAACTCGAAATTTTTTCGCCGCTGCAGCTTTTGTCGACTCATCTTCATCGGGTCTGAAAAAGACAAAAAACTCAGAGAAACTTTTCACGGCGAAGAGAAAGGATCAGATAGGTGTACAGAGGGAAATTCCTCTAATTGCAAATAAATTTGTGTCGGGCATGGATCAGATAACTTCTATCATATCGTCTTTAATTGGCGGAAACGTGCATCGACCTCTGTCCATTTTCCGAAATTCGTCGTGAAAATAAATAAGCATTGTGAGAACCGTAAATTTGGGGCCGTCAGGTAATAATTTCGGCAGGTATACTGTTGTGTACAAGAAGTGATACGCTTCATTCATTCCATTGTGTGAAACCATTGGATTTTTGTGTGCTTTTGTAGCGCCGTTGGTTTCCTGTGTGTCGGGCCACTTTCATGACTCGATAAAAACCCATACGATTTCAGTTCTCTGAAATAATTAGTGTAATAACATGGACGCGGCACGCACGGACTCTACAACGAGAATGTTCTTAATAGTTTATATGGCATAGGGAAATCATACGTCTATTCCGAGGAGGAACGCGACGAAAGATACACAACTGTTGCACTCGCAACCAAGCTGACCACCTTTCCAGGACCGTAATAGGAAATTATTGCCCAAGCAATGGAATCACATCTGATATAACACAGGAAATATTGACAATTAACAAGAAATTATGTTTCTAAATATTTTATAAATGTTAACATATTAGGAACTGCTGTTTTAAGGTATACCTTATACCTTAATGATCTGGTATACCTACAGGTGTCCCAGCGAGTTGAAAAACTTCATAAGTGACCTTTAAATGGTAAAATTAAAAAAAAATTGTATAGGACATTGATAGATACTAATCTAATGCATTACCTAAAATTATTTTCAAATTTCAACCATACAGCATGTCCCAAAAATAAGTTAATACAAACTTGTGTTTTTTTTTAAATGAAACACCGTATGTTTCTTGACGTTTTTGGATGTAACCTTATAAAACAATGTTTTTACGCTAAACTTTTATTAGTCGATTTCGCTTAGTTTTGGAAATAAGACGTTTTTTTGACGAAAACATGCACTTTTTAAAAATTTATTACACAAAAACAGCTTGGACAATTTTTTTCTTACTTCTGCAAAGAAGAAAGTTCAGATTTTTTTTGTACTGTCACTACTAAAAACAT